TGTGTCCAGCTGGCAGGATGTAATAGAGATGGTTGCCCTGCCACTTGTGTGGCAGGAAGCCCGGCTGCCCCTGGACAGGGGAATGAAAGCAAGGGGGACTTTAGAATTCTTTTCAGAAGTGAATGTAGGAGACTTTGCCAAGTGAAAGAATGCTGTTCCTCCTGTACCGAGAAGCTCTTGGGGACCTTGGAAGGCAGAGGCTCTGAATCTCCTTTCTTTTTTTTAGCTGACATGTAGCCTCCTGTTGTTAAGAGACAGCAAAGGATTCAAAGTTAGACTCTCCAGGCTTTCTGGCCATCAGCTGTCTCTCAGCAAACTGCATTGTGATGAGTTAAGTGTAAATGAGCTGGGGGCATGTGGACTCCATTTCCTTCCAGCCCAGAAGGATTTCAGACAATAGGCAGCAGGAGCCAGGGTGCGGGGCATTTTTGACTTGACCGACCTCAGATGATTAGAAGACATGTCCTGCACTCTTCAAAAGGCCAAACTCCCCAGCATGCCTTCCTCTGCCCTCCCTGGCCCCTCTTCCTGTCTGGGGAGTCTGCTCCCTGGTAGCCGTGCTGACATGAATCTGTGGCTCCCTCCTTTTCTAGAGGCAGGCCCCGTTCCCTATCTCTAAACATGCAAACACACATTGACATCAGCATCTGCTCTGCTCTCGGCTCCGAGGATTTACATTACGCCCCGTTTTTGTAAACAGGCATCTACCAGAAGTAAGAATAAATACCTTGGAAATTCCATCAGGGGCTCTTCACGGAGAGACAGATGTGCTCGAGGGACGAGCCTTTCTCTCCTGAAGCACATGTGGCTTGTGGACAGACCCACGTCCAGTGAGGTATCTTCTAGCCATAGAGCTGAAAGAGATGGTCATCTGGCCTGACCCCTCATTTTATAGAAGAGTAAACTGAGGCCCAGAAGTTAAGGGTCTTGCCCAAGTTATGCAGTTAGTAAGTGGCAGGGATGGGATTCAAACTCGCGCCCTCTGATTCTGACTCTAGTATTCCCTCCACTGTGCCACACCAAATCTTAGCACTGGAAAGGACCTCAAAACCATCCACCCAATAGGTCCAATAAAAGTGTTCATCAAATTCCCACTGGGGAACCTCTGCAGACAAGGGCCTCTTCCACGCTGGGACAGACAGCCCTCATTGTTAGGAAGTTTGCTCTCATTTTAAGCCTGAAGGAACAGTGCAATGGACAAGACTGGCCGGGTCCCTCTTCCTTGGAGGTCTGTCCTCCCCTGGCTTATGAGCAGTCATCTGTCTGTCTTGCCTCTCCCCCTCGCTATCCTCTAGGGAGCCCCCACTCAGGGTCTTCTCCAATCCCGAGCCATTCCCAGCCGGCACACAGGCTGGAGCCTGAGCTAGCCGGGACAAGCAGGATTCCCAAAGGCTTGTTTCATCTGACATCTCTCTTAAGCCCAGTTTTCAGTCTGTGGCTCATCACTGTGGTTGAAAGTAGGGTCGAGGGCTGTGTTATCCTGAGAAGCTGTGGTTTTGTGATGTAGGGGGTGATCTGGGGCAGGGTTATATTCACAGATGTCAATGAGGTTGCCAGCCGGCCCTCCATTCTTCTACATCTTCTGTCCCTCTCCTGAAGGACAGCTCCTCCCAAAATCCAGCAAGTGATGTCCAAGCCTGGGCAGGCTACCCGGGAATTTGTGTAGTTTGATGTCGGCCTCTGCCAGCTCATCGGATGGATCCCCCATTCCTGGATCTCTTCAGGCTACGACCGGATGACCACTTGTTGGGGCCTCCGTTGGGGTCAGGATTTGGACAGCTGAGCCTAGGAGGGCCTCGTATCCAACCCTGAAATTCCAGGAAAACCTGAGTCTGTTCTTGTGTATGAAATGATTGGATGCCCTGGTTTCTCATGCTCCCTTCCATGCACTATTTTTGCATTCTGTTTACTTCTGAATATAAATTGTGCCTGCTCTGCTTGTCCAAACACGCTGATGTGTTTTACATAGTTGAGATTGCTGGATGAGCGGCCACCAACAAAGTCAGATTCCTGGAGGTGGGAACCAATCGTCACTTCTGGACTGAAGACCAGGGACCAGGCAGTGGCTGGCCTTTTTTTTCTTTAAAAGTTTTCTGGGGGAAGCGAGGTGGCGCGGTAGGTAGAACACCGGCCCTGGAGTCAGGAGGACCTGAGTTCAAATCCAGTCTCAGACCAGACACTTGCTACTTACTAGCTGTGTGACCTTGGTCAAGTCACTTAATTTCAATTGTCTTGCCAAGAAAAAAAGTTTTCTGTCATTTGGAGGCACTTCATCTTTGTGCTCCTCGTGGAAGCAACAGAGAAATGGAGCCTCTTCCTCTGAGCAAAGCAGGAAAAGAAGTGCAAATGTTCCTGCGAAGTCTTTCTGCCAATAGAGTGGAAAGGACCTTGTATTTAACATTGGAGACCTTGCTTCAAGTCCCAGCTCAGCCCCATACTACCTGTGGAACCTTGGGAAAGCTGCTTCACCCCCTTGGCCTCAGTTTCCCCATCTGTAAAATGAGAAGATTGTACTCAGTGAACTTTGAGGCCCCTCCCAGCTGCAAACCCATGGTCCTGTGAGACAGCCCTTCTGGGACCCAAATTTCATTGTCCTCATCCACCTGACCTTGCATGTGTCTGGGAGTCAGTGTAACAATGATAATGATAATGATATGTAAAAATGACTGGCATTTATACGGCATCTTAAGGTTTGCTAAGCACTTGGTCCTCACAACAACCTCTGAGGTAGAGGTTATCATTAGGCCCATTTTAAAGATCAGGAAACTGAGGAAGGCAAAGGTGAAGGGCCTTGTCCAGGGTCACCCAGCTGGTAAGTGTCTGAGGCCACGTTTGACTCCAGGTCCAGTATGCTAGCCACTGTACCACCTTAGTAAAAAGGGATCAGGAGTTAGGATGAAGAGAGATCAGGGTTCAAATGCTACCTCTAGTGGTTACTAGTGGTATGACCTTTACCCTCTCTGAGGTTCAGTTTTCCCGTCTGTAAAATGAGGCTAATAAAACCTGTAGGATCTTAGGGGGTTTGTGAAGCTCACAGAATTCAACAGATCATAGAGAAACACAGCGTTATAGCTGGGAGTCAACCTCCTCCTTTTACAGATGAGGATACCGAGGCACAAAGCAGTGCGGCCCTCTGGGTCACCCAGATAGAAAGTATCTAAGGTGGGATTTGAAGAGATGTGTTTCTACCTCTGGGGCCAGTGCCCTGTACCCTATACATTATATGTCAGCTGCTACATGAACTCTCAAGCCCTCTATCAATGCCATGTGTTATTATTACTTGAGGAGAAGGAGAAGAATGGAGGAAGATTTTCCTGAATTTTCAACTGTTCTACACACCAGAGCCCTTGCCACCAAGTCACACAAGGCTCAGAGGGGTTCAGTGGCCTGCCCAGAGTTACACAGCTAGTGAGTATCAAAGGGCAGTGGCAAAACTTGGCCAGTGGTGGCCAACAGCCAGAGAAGCTGCATGAGCCACATCATCAAAGCAGTGTGTGGCTGACCAGAAGAGGAGACAGGCTGGTCATGCAGTGACCTCCCAGCCTGTCCGGAAGGTTCATGCCCATCAGAGTCAGAAGCTGAACCCTGATCCTCAAGCCAGTACTTCTTCCCCTGTACCACAGTGCCTTTCTTGAGAGCCAGGTTCAAATCACAGGATTGTAGATTTAGGGCTGGAAACCATTTAGTCCAGCCCATTCCTATTACAGAGGAGGGACTGAATCCCAAGGACTGCATCATCTCCCCCCCACACACCCATATCCAGTATGGTGCCAAGGCCTGTGTCTGCAGCATCTCTGGTAGATTTCACCTCTGCAGCATCTCTCCTAGATTTCACCTCTGCAGTATTTTCTGGTAGATTTCACCTCTGCAACATCTCTGGTAGATTTCACCTCTGCAGCATCTCTCCTAGATTTCACCTCTGCAGTATTTTCTGGTAGATTTCACCTCTGCAACATCTCTGGTAGATTTCACCTCTGCAACATCTCTGGTAGATTTCACCTCTGCAGCATCTCTGGTAGATTTCACCTCTGCAGCATCTCTGGTAGATTTCACCTCTGCAGCATCTCTCCTAGATTTCACCTCTGCAGCATCTCTCCTAGATTTCACCTCTGCAGCATCTCTCCTAGATTTCACCTCTGCAGCATCTCTCCTAGATTTCACCCCTGACAGTATCTCTGGTAGATTTCACCTCTGCAGCATCTCTGGTAGATTTCACCTCTGCAGCATGTTCAGAGATGCTGCAGAGGTGAAATCTACCAGAGATGCTGCAGACACAGGCCTTGGCACCATACTGGATATGGGTGTGGGGGAGAGATGATGCAGTCCTTGGGACTCAGTCCCTCCTCTGTAATAGGAATGGGCTGGACTAAATGGTTTCCAGCCCTAAATTTACAATCCTTTGATTTGAACCTGGCTCTCAAGAAAGGCACTGTGGTACAGGGGAAGAAGTACTGGCCCCCATCACCTGATGCCTGGAACCATTGCAACAGTTGCTGTTGGGTCTGTCTGCCTCGAGTCTTTCCCCACTCCAGACTATGCTAAAGTACAAATGTGATCATGTCACCCCCTACTCGACAAACTGCAGTGGCTCCCCATCTAGGGTTGTTTGCACGTGGGCTTCCCCATTAGATTGTGAATAGGTGCTTAATTTATGCTTTTACTGACTGAGACAGAAAGGCAAGTGAGATGTAGTTGATAGTTTGAGGGGATGGCACAATGAAATAAAGGATGTTTAAGGGGGGCAAATCTAAGCATGAATAAAAGGCAGTGAGTGAATGAATGAATGAATGAATGAACAGTGCCTTATGTTATGAGAATCCTTTGTCAGTTTTTTTTCCTCCTTATATTCCCAGCATCTGGTACACAGTAGGTGCTTAATAAATGTTGGTTGAATCAAAATGTGGAATTAGAAGTTACAGAGAAGCCTTCCTTTCTTTCCCATTTGGCACCTGGTGGCATGGTCTTTACCTTCTCTTTTCTCTCTATGCTGTATTTGGCAGGTGACACAGGCCATCCCCCACTGCCCAGGACAAATGACTCTTCATCACAACCCCTTGCTGGTGTGTGGAGGTGACAGCTTCACTCGGTCCAACTTTGACGGGTGCCTGGAATCCTCCCTATGTGTTATGGAGGCCCTAAAGCCTCATCTGTAGAGCCCACATCACTTTGACTTTTCTCTCATGGCCCCTACTTGGGAGTCTATTCTTTGGTCCTCAGAATTTTTTTTCTACTTTATTGAATAAAATTCCAAGGAAGTTGTCCTTCATTTACCCACATTTACCATATTGAATAGAAATGGTATAAGGATTTTGGCAGACACAGACAGCTACCTGTGTTGGAGGGAAACCCCTCCCATCTTTTGTATTTCATGGCTTTTCTCAGTGAGCAACGTGGTTCCTGGTTGGTGGCAAGATGGTGACTGAGGGGGATAGAGCCATGGAGTCATCTGCAGTGGGAAGAAGGAAATCCTTCCAGCCCCAGGCTGTTTCCTTGCAACACTGTGGTTCAGAAGCCATTGAGCCCCCAAGTCTGTGCCCTCTTGGAAATGAGTTCTAATAGCTGCTTTTCTTGCCCGTTATATGTTATCATTTCACAAGCCTGTCTGGGATAGGAGCACTGAGGTCTTTCCTAGTTGTGGTTTCTGAGATTCAGTTTCAGTTTAGCTCAAAATGCCACAGTTTTTTTTCTTTGGCCTTTGAAAAAATCTACGGACACACTGCATTTGATTTGGTGTTTTCAAGTCTCACAGAATTGTAGCCTGGGAAATAATTTTTTATCTCCTTTTTGACAAAATTGTAGTCTCAGAGATGGCTCCAATCAATGCCGCACGATGAATGGTTATATAACATGTGTACAATGAATTTTACATAATTTTCAAATTCCATTAGTTTTAATGCATGTGCTAGGTGGTGCAGTGGATAGAGCACTGAGTCTAAAATCTGTAAGACTCATCTTCCTGACTTCAAATCTAGCCTCAGACACTTACTAGCTGTGTGACCCTAGGCAAGTCACTTCACCTTGTTTGCCTCAGTTTCCTCATCTGTAAAATGAGCTAGAAAAGGAAATGGCAAACCCCTCCAGTATCTCTGCCAAGAAAACGCCCAATGGGGCCACAAAGAGTCAGATCCCGCTGAAACAACTGTAACAAAATTCTCACTCTGTCCTAAGTGCTGGTGATATGAAGACAAAAACATCCTTGCCTTGAAAGTGATCACCTTCTCTAGAGGGAAGCCTGTGTTCACATAGAAGTTATCTGTGGCTGGGCGTGCCATGGGGGGAATGGATGCTCCAGCACCAGAGGGCCAGAGACCATGCTTGGGGCACTCAGTCCATTCAGCTTTGGGACTCTTGTCCTAAGGCCCAGCCATCCTGATTCATAAGGCGAGGAAACACAAACCCACGTAACCCACTTTACCTAACAGGACCAGGCTTCACAACCCAGCAAACCGTCCACCCTCCAAGAACCATAAACCAACCAATGTTGCCTTTGCTTCCATAGAGGCCATGTCGATCGACTGCCTCGTGACTCCATTCCCCATCCCTATGAAATCCCTCAAAACACAGCCTTCCTGGGCTATCTGCTTTGTGGGTTGTCTCCACCATTGAAATACAAGTTCCTTCAGGAGCTTGTCTGCTTTTGTATGTGTATCCCCAGTGCTTAAAACAGTGCTTGGCACTTAACACATGCTTAACAAATGCCTTCCCTTCATTCATTCTGGGGAAAAAAAATTGATCTGCAGCCCAGGAAATAAGGTACCTGCTGATGAACTGAAAAACATCATCAGGGTATGGGATGCAAAGAACGTGAACTAAAGGCCTGCTTTCCTCGTTTCCAAAAGAAGGAAAGATACGTTGATTTTTTTTAAATAGTATAATTCTACAGTGACTGGACTGCCTAGAGCACTTGATATCTGCAGCAAGGGCTCTGAGATCCTAGAGAGCCTTGGGAGGATTGTTTTAACTACTAGTCCATGTAAAACAATCATGGTACCTTATTGATAAAAATGGCTTTTCCCACATGCTGAAAAAATGGAAATGTAAAATGTTCAACAGGATGGAATGACAAGAACAGGAAGGTTTCAGCCGCATATTCAGTGAATGAGGGATCTGTGATTTCATCAAGATGGAAAACTCCTGAGACGGGAACCCCTTTCCCACCATAAATCAGCAGCTCTTAACAGATGTGACCTATGACTGATAGGTCTTAGGGAAGAGGCCGAGGCATAGAGATGTGAGGGACCCAGGGTCACCCGGTGCCAGAAGTGGGATTTAAACCCTGGTAGTCTGGAAGCCAAGTCCACACCCTATCCGCTACACCCTGTCTACACCACTGTTTCTTGTTTGGTGAACAGTGGGATAATGTATTACACTGTGATTCATAAGAACATGTCCAAAAATACATGGCTTTGATGACTCTTTTCAAGTTGTTTCGTAATTTAAGGATTTCCCAGCCCTCAGTAACAGTGAATTATAGTCATCCTTTTAGTTCATTTCTTCCCTCAACAGGAAGAAGAAACTCTGTAGGCCAATCAGTGGGTGGTGGCACCACAGAGGATAGAGCACAGGGCCTGGAATCAGGAAGACCTGAATTCAAATCCTCCCTCAGACACTTCCCAGCTGGATGACTGACCCTGGGTGAGTTATTTAAATGTCTGTTTGCCTCAGTTTCCCCATCTGTAAAACAGTGCTAATAACCCTACCTTCTGGGGATGTTATGAGGGTCAAATGAGACAGTATTTGTCAAGTTCTTTGCAAGTCTTAAAGTGCTATACATTGTTGTTGTTTTACAGCCGTATCTGACGCTGTGTGACCCTGTCTGGGGTTTTCTTGGTGGCAAAGACACTGAAGTGGTTTGCTATTTCCTTCTCCAGTTCATTTTACAGATGAGAAATTGAGGCAAAATTTTACAGATGAGAAAGCGAGGCAAAAAACTGAGGGTAAAATGACTTGCCCAGGGTCACACAGCTAATTAGTGTCTGAGGCTGCATTTGAACCAAAGTCTTCCTAATTGCAGGCCTTGCAGTCTGTCTGCTACCCCATCTAGCAGCCCCAAAGTATTATTTATATAAACGTCAGATAAACCTAACTGTGGGTGCTCTCCAAGGTTCTGTCCTGGGCCCTCTTCTTCCTCTACTCTATCCCTATAAACTCATCAGTTCCCATAGCTGATGTCCATCCCCAGTCATGCTTTAGTCCCAGATCAACGGTTATCTATTGAACATTTCAAAATGCACGTCCCAGAGACATCTTAAACTCAACATGTTCAGAACTGGACCCCTTTGGCAGTATTGCCAAGTTGATGGACCTGTTCTTCAAATAGTGTTTTTACATGGCTAAAATAAAGTACAGAGGATGATCAGAGGAAACCAATTATATTGAAATAAAGAAGTAATTGTTCCCATCCGGGTCCACAGCCCCCTAAAACACCCCTGCAGAGCCTTTGCTGAGAACCCTCTCTGAATGCCTCCCCTCTTCCTGGTGTCAAAGATACCCGCGTCCTTCCGGTGTCTAAGGGCAGACTGGCCGCCTTTCTGCCCCTGATCCACAGTGTCTCCAAGGCTCTATACTGGCATCCGCCATACATGTGACACTCTCCCTCCTTACCTCCCACCTCAGAGAATCCCTCTCTTCCTTTAAGGCATGGCTCAGGCACCATCCTGCATGAAGCCTTTCCTGATTACCCAGCCACAAGTGCCCCCCTCCCCACTGTCCTGTATTCAAAAGTTGCATGTATGTATGCATGCTTTACTTTATTCTGGATCTGTTTTTAAATGTACTTCTTGTCTTCTTCATTATAATGTAAGCTCTTTGTGAGCAGAAATTGTTTCATTCTCCATTTCATGTTTCATTCTCATTTATGTCCACAGTGCCTGGCACACAGTGGGTGCTTTATAAATACTTGTTAACTGATTGATGATTTAGATAGGGAGAGAATTTGGCCAGCTGATCATCTGATTCAGTGCAATTCAAAAAGCATTCATTAAGCGCGTAGTGTGTGCCCGGCACTGGGCTAGGTAGGCACAGTGAGTATAAAGATAAAAAGGAAACAGTCCCTGCCCTCAAGTAGCTTACATTGTATTGAGAGGAAAGAAAAGGGAGGGGCAGCAGTAGAAGCCCCAACTGCTGGGAATTGGGAAAGGCCTGATAGAGGACTTGGCACCCAGCTGAGCTTAGGCACCCACAAGGGGAGGTAAAGAGGAAGTAAGTGTATTTCAGGCATGGAAGACACCCTGGGCAAAGGTGTGGGGGTTAGGAATGGAGTGTTGTTTCTAGACTCTTGGCTGGATTATGGCATGTGTGTCGGTGGCTTGGGCGTGTTCATTCCGAGCAGCATGGGAGAGTAGGGGTGGGGGTGTGGAATAGGAGCCAGTGCTAAGCCTGACTCTTCAGCCAGGGGCCCACCGAGGTGGCCTCGCGAGAACTAAGTACCCTGAGAGAACCTCAGCGCCTGTTCTGTGTAAATGATAATGATCTGCCAAAAGAGAAAAAGGAAACTGGGCCCCAGCTGCAGTGACGTCGTCCACACAGCCTCCCTTCCCATCCTCCTCTTCTGCCTTGTAACTGACCCCCTAGCAGTAAGGATGGGAGAATTCCCTGAAACTGAAGTAAGAGGCTGCAGTGGAGCCTGGACTTATCCTCCTGAGCCCTGACGGTTCAGGAACTCTGAACCTGCCCACTAGGTATGAAGAAGAACCTGCAGATCCATAACCCTGGAGGACACCTGGGAGTCAGGGGCTCCCTTGTTGGCCAGGGTAGCTAGAACAGCGCTCGGAAGCAGGGTTGTCACATTGTTCTGTGACGTCAGAATCAGGACCCACTGGGACCGCTGCCGAGCTGCTTGTGTCCCTCACCTCCGGACCACCGCTCACAGCAGAGCATTTGCATGAGATGTTTTACTCATCAAGGGAGAAGGGATAACCACTATTGCTATAGCTGTGATTTCAGACCTTAGCACAGTGCCTGGAACATAGTAAGCACTCAACCGAGGCTTGTTGACCAACTGATTCCTGGCTATTTGCGACTCCCAGATGGGCAAACTCCCTCTACTAATATAGCCTAGCATCTCCCCAGCAACTTGTATTCTTGGAGTCAGAGCTCTTAACCTGGGATCTGTAAACTTTGCTTTTGATATTTTAATAACTATATTCTAATAGATTTGTTTTCCTTTGTAATCTTGTGTGTTTTATGTATTCAAAAACATTCTGAGAAGGGATCCATAGACTTCCCCAAATAGCCAGAAGAGCTCATGAGGAAAAAAAGGTTAAGCTCTCCAGCTATAGAGTTTCTTGGCCCTCCGAAGGTCAAGTGGTTCATGGTCATACAACATTATGTGGTAGAGGGCTTTCCAGCTAGCCCTGGTTAGCAGTGCTGTCTGCCTTTGCTAGAATTAAATTTTATGAGACCAGAGAGAAAGAGCTTAATTACCTCGGTGATGTCTATGTCTTGCATAGGCGAAGAGGGTGACACATATGTTATGGCAGGAGGGTGGCTTTTTTCACCTTTGGCATTTCTGGAAGGGGAAAGTTACTTAAAGAAGAAATAGAAAAAAGTAGTTATAAAACCAGGCCAGATAATTTCCTGTGCCAAAAAAAACCCAATACTCCATTGAGTCATCATGCCATCCACAAAATGCCATCCTTCCCGTCCCATAACCACCCACCACCTTGTTAAATGCAAAGAGTGAGGTCCAACCC